GAGGCGTGTGGTAGGGTATAAAAACCCAGCCCTGGTGATTTTTTTTTTTTTTTTTTTGTTTGTTTTTTTAGTGATGCCTGGAATTGCAAACTTTATTCACATTTTAAAAATATGTTGGTATAAAACTGCAGCTACATTTCATGTTTTGCCTTGGAAAGCAAACTGCTAGGTAGCAGTTACCTTGTGTGCACCATTTCATTAAATTGCAGAGGCCTAATGGCAAATCAGACGGTCACTCTTCTGAGAGGGCCCTGGGTGTCCTCATCTACGCTTGTGTGGCTGAGATGGAGATCTGTCTGCTGGTCCGCTGTGGTCTGGGTCAGGTTTTACTAGGAATTCTGACATTTACAGGTGGGGGTTCTGTTTCTTTCTCTTTCTTCAACAGTTGACTGCAGCTTGCTGCACTAAATCGAGAGACAGCTCTTTGCATCTCGTTAGTAGGAGCGATACGCCATGATTCCTCTCGCAGCCACTTCCTTGATTTCCCTGGCACGCAGAGCTCCGAGTCAGTAATCGGAGGGGTGTTTCTCACTTGCTCTTTGCTTCTCCGCCTGTCTCTCTGTCCAGCTCTGGGAGGGGTTTCTGCCTGGCGCTGCAGTGTGTGTGCACAGAGGTGTCTGATCTCTGGAAAGCTGCCTCTGAGCTGCCACCAGTTTGGTCATTTCGCTTTTAGACACGGCAGTCGATAACGGATGGCTACAAAACAGTCGCTTTTAGACGGAATGCATTTCACTTGCTCGTGAGGCAACTCTCGGAGTGTAAAAAGTGTTTTTATGACTTTCCCTGGGCGCATACTCCTGCCCTTCAAGCTGAGGTGTGAATATTCCACCTTTATCTCCTTCCGACTCCCGGATTAACGCTGATTACTGAAATGGTTTCATAGTGAAAATCATCATGTACAGCTCTTGTTTAATGGACTTCAATGCAAATAAATCTTTGAAGTTTACAGCTTCTCTTCTCCTGGGCGTGTGGGTGAGAAGCGTGCGAGCAGCGAGGCAGGCCCGGGAGCGAACCCCTCCCGGGGGGGCAGAGGTGCTGCCTCCACCTGCCGCGTGCAATATGAATCATAGAATCACAGAAAGTTTTGGGTCGGAAGGGACCCCTAGAGCTCATCTAGTCCAACCCCCCCGCAGTGAGCAGGGACACTGCTAACTCAGGTTGCTCAGAGCCCTGTCCAACCTGGTCTTGAATGTTTCCAGGGATGGGGCCCCACTACCTCTCTGGGCAACCCGTTCCAGTGTTTCACCACCCTCATTGTAAAGAATTTCTTCCTTATATCCAGCCTAAACCTACCCTGTTTTAGTTTAAAACCATTACCCCTCGTCCTGTCACTGCTGTCTCTACTAAAAAGATTGTCCCCATCTTTCCTATAGGCTCCCTTTAAGTACTGAAAGGCTGCAATCAGGTCTCCCCGCAGCCTTCTCTTCTCCAGGCTGAACAAGCCCAACTCTCTCAGCCTGTCCTCATAGGAGAGGTGCTCCAGCCCTCGGACCATTTTTGTAGCCCTCCTTTGGACCCCCTCCAACAGCTCCATGTCCTTGTGCTGAGGGCTCCAGAGCTGAACGCAGGACTCCAGGTGAGGTCTCACCAGAGCAGAGTAGAGGGGCAGAATCACCTCTCTCGC